TGAAAATCACCCAGGAGAAGGCATACTCTGTTGATGGTACAATAAAATGCTTCTTCTAATGACATCACAGCGAAACACCTATTTTGTTGTTCTCGGTGAAAAAAAATACAAGACCAGGCTTGGCCAATATTGCCAGTAATAATCTTATAATATTAATAAACTTATGATAAATTTGCAGATGATATCATCAATAAATAACAAAGTATTTATAAATAAACCATAAAAAGAATATTGCTAAACTCAAGGCAGTTTTAAATTTGAGGCATCAACAGTTTTTGTTGTCGGAGAAAATTAAAACTATTGCCAATTATAATGAGCCAAACAAATATTTAGTCTATTATAGTGAATTTTAAAGAAATTCCAAAACATTTTCGATGTGAAATAATTTTATAGTGAGAGTAAGAGGTCAGATGAAATTTATATAAGAAAAATAGGAGATAATATTATAAAAATAAGATAAAATATAATATATTAATCTCTGTAAGAAAATTTGCATAGATTTGGGCAAGATTATATGAGCATGTGTTAGAGCGAATTTTTTGGAGAATATCTAAAAAGATTATTTTTTATACTGCCATGGGTTACGTTATAAAAATTAAATTCGAATCCTAAAATAGACATGCAAATTAAATCCTCAAGAGTAAGCAAGAATTTAACCATGAAATATATGATTGAAAATAGTAACATTAGTAGTTGCTAAATGGTTTACTGATAAATTGACGTGTTCTTATGCGAACGTTGACAATCGTTAATGGAACTCTTGAAAATTCGTTATGTAAAAGATTTGACGGGCTGCTACCTATTTTTAAAGGGGAAGGCAAGAGAGCTGCTTTCGCTTTAAACGTAATCGGAAGAGAAAGCGAGTAAATAAACCACAATTATTAGTTTGAAAATGACAAAACTTTTTTATTACACTACAATCAAGTGTGCGCTTAAACTAATCAAAACTAAACTTATCAATTGAACACCTATTATATTATGTACGCTAATTAAATAACAAATGCGACTTATTCTAATATAAAAATCCGCACAAAATAGCCGGGAGTTGACGCCTGGCTACTTAATCTTATAGTAAATCACTCAAATACAAAGATCGTTAAAAGGTCGAACAAAGGTAGCCGGCGAATGATCGCCAGGCCACCTATAAGTTCACGCAACTGCACACCTCTGCGAGAGAGATAAAAACCGAGAGAGAGATGATCTGACCTTTTATTTCCTCCTCGATGATATCCATGAGGCGAAGGTGACAACGGCAAAACAGGCCGATCGTTAGGCTTCTCACTGTTGATACTACTGCCTGCGTAGGTGGTGCCCACGATAATGGACGGTCAGGGCGTGGGACCACGCAGGATATAAGACAGCCAAACCTCTTATCGCAGAAAAACCACCGAAAAAAAGAGAGACCGGAAGCGCGAGGTAATTTTCTTGGTGAATTGACCTCGACTACTGGCTGATGCTGAGTGACGCAACGCAATACTCCTGCGCAATATCGCAATATAGACCGCGCTCTCGCGAACTATCCCTACTTAGCCCAGTTTTTAGGTAGCATGCAACGAAACGCTAATTGGTCGCGCGTTGCCCGCCCCCCTATACCCGCATAGTGCATTTTCACGCGCGCGCTCTCTCTTTCTCTCTCTCTCTCTCCTTCTTCAGCTACAGCGTCCCCTCTCGTTTTCCTTAAGCTATCTCGGCAGAGCCTAGGGATTTATGGCGTCTGAAGAAAGAGGTACAGTATTAGGCCCATAAAAAAGGTACACCCAATACTGACCACTGAGCCTGGCCGAAGACCAAGGGGATAGGCATAGGGACCGATGAGAAACAGAGAACAACCTGCTCTCGTCACAGCTACTTAAATTAAAGCTGCGATAACTGCGTGACATAAAGTGATAAAATCTCAATAACAATTAGTAGCGTCGTTTATCGAGCAGAGAACAGATCTAAGTCGACACGGTTCGTCCTATCGATGCACCGTTCGAAATTCTACAAAGTATTGTCGTATCTATTTGGGAAAGGCCAAAAAACGCTGCAACCAAAATTTAGTCGATTTGCTAGACTACGATAATATATCGGGGAGAGAAGATTGCCTAAAACTGCTTTTTTCTTATAAGCGAAAGAGAGAAAGTCTTATGAGTTGAGCACTCAAACTATCATGCAGAAAAGAAGAGTAGTAAGGCTAAATAATGAAATGGATCTCAGGAAATGGCTGAACCTTTACGAGGTCTGTCCGGAAAGTATCGGACCTATGTTTATATCTTCGCGCCATAGTGTTCGAGCGACCTCTACCGGACAGAAACGTCAACAGTAAAGCCTCACGAATCTATTAGTTACTTACTGACACCTGCCGAACGTATAGTTCATGCGCAGCGCGTCTTTGTTTACAGTGCCTTTTTCGCGTTCGTCGGATTTTGATATTGTCAAAAATGACTGAAAAACAAGATCAACGAATTTGCATTAAATTTTGCTCTCAACTCGGAAAAACGAGTTCGGAAACTATTGAAATGATGCAAAAGGCCTTTGGAAGCGAGTGTATGAGCAAAACAGGAATAAAAGAGTGGTGTAACGGTTCAAGGATGGTCGCACTTCTGTCGATAGTGATTCTCGTTCCGGCCGACCTTCGACGACAAAAACCGCAGGAAATATTGAGCGGGTGCGACTTGTAATCAAACAAGATCGTCATATGACTGTGCGAGAACTAGAAGAAGACCTTGGGATACCAAAAACTATCATTTCAAAAATTTTAACCGAAAATTTAGGAATGAAACGCGTGTGTGCGATATTCATCGCAAAATTGCTTACAGCAGAGCAGAAGAACATTCGCTTAGAAATCGCTCTGGACAATCTAGAAATGGTCAATAATGATGATAATGTGCTTAGAAAAGTTATTACAGGTGATGAATCATGGGTTTATGGTTATGATCCTGAAACAAAACAACAATCTTCACAGTGGAAGCATTGTGAATCGCCAAGACCAAAAAAAGCACGTCAAAGTCGGAGCAATGTTAAGTCAATGTTGATTGTTTTTTTCGATTGTGGAGGTGTTGTACATCACGAATATGCACCAACAGGTCAGACAATCAATAAAGAATACTACGTTCAAATTTTGAAACGTTTGCATGATGCAGTAAGAAGAAAACGGCCGCACTTTTGGCAAAGTGGTGACTGGCTCCTCCATCACGATAATGCCCCAACGCATTCATCCAATCTTGTGCAGCAGTTCTTGAGCAAACACAATATTGAATTGCTTCGACAACCTCCATACAGTCCCGACATAGCCCGTTGTGACTTTTGGCTGTTTCCAAAACTAAAAAAACCACTCAAAGGACACCGATTCGGTGACAAAACAACGGTTGAAAACAATGCGACGAGTGTACTTAAGGCTATCCCTAAAAGTGAGTTCCAGGACTGTTTTGAAAAGTGGAAACATCGATGGAACCGTTTATTCAATCAAGTGGGGATTACTTTGAAGGATGGCACCCACCAGATGATAAAGAATAACACTAGCACGAAAATATATAGGTAGGCCCGATACTTTCTGGACAAACCTCGTATTTCACCTGTTACAGTATTCACATTGCTAGGCAAGGTAGAATCAGAATCCCTCTTACCTAAACGATGAGCGAATTTGTATTTGCGGAAATGGCTCCTTTTTATGCTGAGTTATCCCTACAATGCTGTTTCCGCAAATTTGTACATACTTTGAACAAATTTTACCACGATTAAATCACGCACGCGAAGTGACAAGTTCATGATGTGAATAATGAAATTCAAAAGGCTGAATTTAAAAATATAAATTGCTTCTCGCTATGTAATTTAAAATGTTTTAATAAATTATAAATTTGTTATTTAGAGTAGATAAGCAATGTATGTCCTGAGACACAAAGTAGCCGACAAAGCATGCCGCCAATGTATAAGGGATATATGTATGTTTTGGGACACAAAGCGGCTGCTCGATGAAGGTGTCGTGGTATCGCGCTACCGCGACACCTCTCTGTGTTATCGCGATAAGGTGAGACCCTATGCTGAGCGTTTAAAACGCAATTGATGTACCTTTGACACCTCCTGCTGAGTGTCTAAATTTCGAGGCCTTCTGCTGAGCGTCTAAAAGGTAATCAATGTACCTTTTGCATTGAAGATACGTCGCCAATGCTTAAGGGATATGTGTATGTCCTGGGACATAAAAAAGCTGCCCGATGATGGTGTTGCGTTTTCGCGATAATTTGCCACCTGTTTGTCTGCTAGTGGGCCCTTCTACAGAATACACGCCCCCCCTCCCCCTCTATAGAGGTTGTTAAGTTAGGACGCTATAGAAGTTGATAGGGCGTTTGGTAAGCTATATGATGGTTTCTTTCTTTCTCTCTCTGACCCTCTCTCTCGCTCTCCGTCGACAGTAGGGCGCTTAGTAAGCTTATGCTGGCTAAGTGTGGGTCCTCGGAGAGGGGGTAGCGTCTCTAGCTTGGTAAGTTATATGCTGCTCTCTCTTTCTAAGTAATCGCTATAGTAGTCTTATTCGATTTCGAGAACCTTTGAACCCAATAGTTAATTTTATTCGAATATTAATCAGTAAAACTCAGAATTTTCATTTAATTTTGATAAAATGTTTCCTCATTTTCGGGTATACCATTGTATAGTAAGAAAAAATAGAATAGACTAGACCGTTACAATATGTTATATAAAAAATTCAGGTAATAATTAGAACGGTATTAAAAAAGTCTGGTTATCTAATAAATAAATAGAGAATATATACTTTTCCACCTAATATTTTATAAACTTCTGTGTACGTCTCAGGAATTGCTACATTTTTTTAAATATTCAAAGATGGTCGCATATCTACAGGTAACTCTTTCGATAAGTAGTTCGAAGAAAATAGTCATAACGTAAAATTTAAGTAAGATATTTCTACTACTACTGTACTATTGTATAGCATTTTGTATGCAAGTGTGTGTACAAGTGTGATAATCTTCAATTGTATTTCGCTCTAAAAGCATCAGTGTTAATTTTACCTGTAATATACTGCTTTTTCACACGCTTGAATATATCAATTTCAAATATTACACAGAGCATCCCTTCAAGAAGACCAATTTGCGAACCCAATCCAAGTGCCAAAAGCATTAGAAAAAATATACAAGACCAAAATGGTGCGGCTGGAAGCTCCACAATTGCTTGCGTGAATACTATGAATGCTAAGCCAGTTCCTTCGGCAGCCTATTTGTACATAAAATACAGAAGTGATTAATAACGTTTCCGTGGTATAAACAGATCAATACTCACATTATCAAGTTGTTCACTTAAGCTGCAACGTTCTAGTGTTAAGTTAACTTTTGATATAGAAGCGTTCAAGTCGAGAATCACCTGATTATACTGTATTTCAGAGGCATTTTCCCAAAGAAGACCATGGTTAATCAATAGGATCCTATTACTGAAATTGCATAATTAATTAATTAATTAAGTGCATTAGTCCAACATCGACTTTAATAGTACAAGTGGTGGATGTTCATACTTTTCAAGGCACTTGTCTACGTTTGACATGGCCTTGAATCCCAAAATTGCGAAGATGACTACACTGGCGTAAATAGCGGTGAAGGCGTTGCATGCGCTAACAAGTAACACGTCTTGCACGCAATGATTTTGGGGCGCATTATAACTACCAAATGCTATTAAAGATCCGAAAGCCAGTCCAAAACTATAGAATACTTGCGTGGCAGCATCCAACCAAACAGTAGGCTCCAGCAATTTTTCCACCTGAGGAGTACATAAAAACGCGTTTACTAAACCAATGAAAGCTATGGATTCCACAGCCACATACCATGCGGTCAGGCATTCTCTTTTTTAACAATAGACAGTAAAATTACTAACTGGTGTTCTGGTATGACCCCCACGGCTCTATACTATTTTATCGGTAGACATTACGCTTTATCGACTGTTTTCATTTGAATGTTTTACCGGCATGACTAGCTCATGCTTCCGTTCTGCTTTTTCCCATGCCCCTGTTATTAAAATAACTATGTGATATTGAGTAGTGAAAGAACATAAGGATATAATCAAGCTATGAAAGATCCAGTTAATACACATTATTAAAAAAATTTCCCTTTATTTATTCATATAATATTTTAAGTAGAGGATATTGTGTATTCAAAGTTTAAAGTTTTTTATACCCTATTAATAACGTATTAGGATTTAGAAAAAAAAATAACGTTATTTTTTTTTAAACCTGGCTCGTTATGAGAGAAAAACGTTACTTTTATGAAACACCTTATTATAGAATTAAATAATATTATTCTTAATGAAAAAGACATCCTTTTTAGATGAATCTTATGGCTATACCTATTCTAAGCTATCGATATTCATTATCCGCGTTAAAAAAATTCTTTTAAAAATAATATTTTTACAATTCCAAAATAATATTTTTATATTTCCATGCTAAATAAATAAATTTTTAAAATAACGTCTTTTTGTCATAAAATAACGTCATTGAATTCTAAAAGAGCATTATTCTATTATTCGTGCTCAACAAAAATCTTCAGCAAAAAACATTATTCATAAAAAATAACACAGGCCGAAAATTTTCAGACCCAGAGACCAGACATACTGTACCCGAAGTAATTTGATGCGTTGAATTCAAATCTGGCCTCAGAATTGCTTCATCGCCCTAGGTTCCCGAGATATCCTAACTTAAAGGTGCAAAAAACACTGTTACTTGCGATTTTTAAGGTTACATAGCATCTTAAATACATTTTTCCAAAAACGGATGACAGCATCATAAAGAAACACTCTTGCCCTCTGAAATCCATTTTTCAAATTTGAGATAGCTTTTTTTCTCATCGAGATATCATTGATTGAAGTTAAGTGTTTTCGTAGTTTCGTAACAACGTTAAAACAGCCTATATTGTATATGTGAGGCTATATTTTAGGTCCACCTTATTGGATTCGCCATTTTCAATTTTCACAATCTGACCGTATATTCGTAATTAGCAACTCCGAAAACCTATGTACATATTTTTTTGGTCGAGTGCGATCACTTATAAATTTTTAGATTCGCCATATTGGGTACGCCATTTTAAATTTTAAAAATCTGACCTCATATTCTTAATCAGCAACCTCAAAAACCCATTTATATATTTTTTCAATCGAAAACGATTACTTTTAAATTGGGCTTATAGGCTCACATATGCAATATAGGCTGTTTTAACGTTGTTACGAAACTACGAAAATACTTAACTTCAATCAATGATATCTCGATGACAAAAAAAGCAATCTTAAATTAAAAAAATGGATTTCAGAGGGCAAGAGTACTCCTTTATTATGCTGTCACCCGTTTTTGGAAAAAAAATTTATTCAAGATGCTATGTAACCTCAAAAACCGCAAAAAAGTGTTTTTTGCATTTTTTGCACTTTTAGGTTAGGATATCTCGGGAACCTAGGGTGATGGAGCAATTCCGAGGCCAAATTCGGATTCAGCGCATCAAATTCCTTTGAGTACAGTATGTCTGGTCTCTGGGTCTGAAAATTGTCGGCCTGTGTTATTTTTTATGAATAATGTTATTTGCTGAAGATTTTTGTTGAACACGAATGATAGAATAATGCTCTTTTAGAATTCAATGACGCTCGTAGCCACGTTGCCTTGCCGGAATCACACGTCCACCAGGGCTGAGAAACCAATACAATTCAGTGGCTGGGCGCGACTCAGCCGATAACTCGAAACAGTCTACGCACCGGGCGAGTCTCCATCAATTACTCGTCGGTGAGGGGGCAAAGAAAATTCTCAAAACCGATCTCAAAAACGGCGCGCGTGACGGCTCCTGCTGAAAATACACAAATACTGAAAAATCGGCACGATAATACGCGAATAACTCGCAATCTCTCTCTCTCTTCTGTAACAAAACTTAATCCTTTGTTATCAATTCTTTTGCGGGGTAAGTGAGGCGCTTTCGCTCATGACAATTGAGAGGGAAGAATGAGGGGAGGCTGATAAATAAATTATACACAGACAAGAACCAAATCTTACTTACAACCTATTATTATTAATAATCATTCACACTGAACAAACGCGCGCATAACATAATCTAAATTACCGACTAACTAACTAAAAATCGAACAATAAACTGCTTAAGATAATCGCAACTGAACATTTCGCATTTCACTAATACCAAATCGCACACTTAACCTATTACAAACTTACTTAAAACTACGCGGACTAATACCGGGAAATTGCCCGGCACGTGGGCGCCTGGACAATTCACCGGTCGCAACTTATATCACTACAAATTAACCTTAGCGCGAACCTTCAGATAGCCGGCACGTGAGTGCCAGGCTATCTCTTTCACCGCGCACCGGTCGTCGCATCAACAGAGAGAGAGAGTGTAGAGAGAAAGAAGAAAAGGAAGACTTGACCTTTTTTTCTTGTTCCTTGCAACGTCGAGAATCCTGGGCGATGTGCTGCCGCAGGACGTACCGGCCGTCGTCGCTGGTCAGATCGCCGCTACCCGCTGTCGCTGACCAGGTCTCCGTCGGTGGCGTTGACTCTCTTGGCAGGTGGGCTGGCTGTTGTTGCTGGCAAAGCCATTGCCGGTAGGGTTAATCGTCCTTCCTTTCGGCTATCCCAAACTGCTCTCTCTGCTGGGCTCGGACTTCCGCACTCTAGCAAGACTAGGCTTAGACTCCCTCACTCTCGTAAGGCTTGGCTGCGACTCTCTCACGCACTAATTCTTGCGCGCCTCTTACAGTCGCTCTGCGGCGCTCGCTCCTCTCCCTACCTTGACCTATTAGTTAGGCGGCACGCGACGCGTCGCTTATCGGTCACGCGTTGCGCGCCTGCCAATCCCTGCATAGGCCTAATACTCTCTTTCTCTCTCTCTCTTTCTCTCACTCTCTCTCCGCGCTCTTCAACTTTTCTTGCGCTCAACTGCGCTGGCTTAAATTATAATTAATTCTAAGTTGGTAACAACCAAATCAACTAAGAGCAAAATCTAACAAACCGAATAGTTTAATCCGAGTGGTATGCCTAACCTTTCGTCATAGCAAGCCGACTAATCCACTGCGCCAAGATCGCGACTATCTCAGTACTCAATTAAACCAAGGATCATACCATTCACTGCCGCTCCAACGACTCCAAATACCGGAGCCTGAGCGTTCGTAGTTCCTCCGCCGAAGGAAACGAGGCACTTGCCCCGGAGAGTCTTTGGCCGGCATCCTCAGTCGCCTCGGACTCAATCACCCCGGCGCTCCGATCGCTCGGCTCACCCGCGGGGACCGACGCCTGCTCCGTCCGCGACGCGACTTCCATCCCCGTATCTTCGACCGAACCGGCTTCAGTCCCGGCTCCCTCTGCAGCAAGCGCCTGTGACCTACGCGCGAGCTTAGCGCGAAAACGCTTGCCGCATCGGTGCCTGGGCTTTTTCGCCTTGGGCTCCCCGACGGAGGATTCAGGGCTGGCTACCTCGGGCATTGACCTAGAAGTTTCGAGCTCCGGCTCCACAGTCTTTGGCTGCGTCGCCAGGAGCTCTACTGGTTCGCCCGGGCGAGCCCGAACCCTTGCCTCCTCCATCGACCGTGCGCGCGCCTGGTCTGCCATAAAGGCATCGCGGCAACGCGGACAGTCTTGCACGCGGACATCGAGTAGCCCACAGTTCTTACAAACCGGACGCGAGAGAGGCGGGTTCCTGCAGGCCGACCTGGGATGTGACCCCGTTCTGCAATTGAAGCAGCGGAACGAGGGTACGTCCAATTCCTCATCCCAGAGGACCGGAGTCAGGTTTTGCAGGAAGCTACCTCTTACCAACCGAAACCCTGTTTCATCGACCCAACACGGCGACGCAGAGGACGAGGCCGGGCTCGCCACCTGAGGAGTCGGGACAGGTCGTACCGGCCTAAGTGTTGGTCGCTCCGGCACAACCGGCTCCACTCTTCGTGGGGTCGGCGGCACCAACACTTCCATCCTTGTGCCTGCCTCTCCCGTCTTCTCGGTAACCGTGCTCGCACTAACTCCCGAGGCTCTCCCTTTGCCGACAGCACCGATGGCTGGAGGGCGCCTGTTGCCTCAGCAACGGCTCCCTCCGCCATCTCAGGTAGAGTTGGCGTCGAACCGGAGGTTGGCCTCTCAAAATTACACGCGGATAGGTTGAAACGCATCGTGCGCTTCCTCCTACCCGAGTTCTGGCGAGCCTCAGCCTCCTTCCTTCTCTCGTCCTCCACATATCCCGCTGGGTAGAATTGCGCGGGCCCACCCCTGCGGACGAACTGGTACGCGGGGTCTAACCTCTGTAACGCGAGCGGTTTGAAAGGGAGGTTAGGATGGACGTGTGGTTGTGGAGCTACTCGAGGCAGCTCCTGCACCGGCATCACCTCATCCTCGGAGTCGCTCGAGCTTAGCACCACCTCCAGTATCCCGTTGGTGGCGCCTCGCTTTATGGGACTCCAGTTTCCCCTTTCAATACAAGCCCTCGCGGTACGGCTCCGATTTGCCGCCCTATCCGCGAGATGTCCTCCCGCGGTAGCTCGAGAGCCCGGCGATTTCTCGCCTTGGCTACTCGTGCCCGCCCGCGAGAAGACAATTCCCTCTTTTGCGGCGATAACTCTCGAGTTCTCGGATGCTTCGCGTATGCAAAGCGTCGTGAGCCGAAACGCTGCGCTGCGACGCACTGCCTCGTCCCAAGTACGCGTGGGCGCAGCCAGACGAATTATCGAACCCGCACGGCGATTTCCCGTTAGCAAACGGACCCCTCGTCGGTCGCTCACGAACGGCG